GAAACTGGACTGCTTGGGAGTAAACTAGTTGATACACCAATTGAATAAAATCATAAACTCTTTCAATGCTCAAATTCAGCAAGCATAGACAGAGGGAGATACTAAAGGCTGGTAGGAAAATTAATTTATTTGTCTCATACACGTCCAGATATTACCTATGCAATGAATGTTGTTAGTCAATTTATGCATGACCCATGAAAGCTTCATATGGATGCTGTTGAGAGGATTTTGAGATATTTGAAGTCCACTCCTGGAAAAGGAATTTTGTTCTCAAATCATGGAAACTTAAAAGTAGAAGGGTACACTGATGCAGATTGGGCAGGTTCAAAAGATGATAGAAGATCTACCTCTGGATACTTTACTTTTGTAGGAGGGAATCTTGTAACTTGGAGGAGTAAAAAACAGCCCGTAGTAGCAAGATCTAGTGCTGAAGCAGAATTCAGAGGCATGGCACTAGGTGTATGTGAACTTTTGTGGATTAAAAATGTGCTATCAGATTTGGGCTTTAAACAAAATGAAACTATGAGTTTGTACTATGACAATACGTCAGCTATAGCAATTGCTCACAATCCGGTGCAACATGATAGAACAAAGCATGTGGAGATTGATAGACATTTCATCAAAGAGAAACTTGAAGCTGGAATAATTTCCTTTCCCTTTGTAAGATCAGAATTGCAGTTGGCTGATGTTCTCACCAAAGGAGTGTCAAGCAGAGTGTTTAATGAGTCTCTATTCAAGTTGGGAATGTGCGATATCCATGCACCAACTTGAGTGGGGGTGTTAAGATATGTCAAATATTCTATTAGCAAGTATTAGGCAATCAAATATTGTGTTAGCTGTAATTTAGGCATTATTACCGTTGTGAGGTAACTTGTGTAGCTGTCATTCCATTTAATAGAGGAGGAATTATAGCACCCTTATATGTATATATATGGTACATTATTCTTTGAAATAAGATATTAGAATTATTCTTTAAACCTTTTTTATAGCTCTTGCCATTGGAACTTGCTTTTTGTTTTTTGTCTTTCTTTTCCTTCATCTTATCATTTCTTTGACTTTATCCATGCCCTCTGTGTTGTTGTCTTTGTCATTGCAATTTGCTCTTTGTTTCTTGTCTTCGTCTTCTTAATTTCTTCCTTCATCTTATCATTCTTTTGGCTCTGTCCATGCCTTCACTTACCATTTTTTTTTTTACACTTTGACATTTCTTTTGCAATCACAAGAACTCAAGCAAAATATTTGAAGACTGCACACTTTGTCCAACAACCGAATAAACCTATTTGCTTAGCCCATGTGGCTAGCCTAACTTGTGAACCACCATACCTGCTACACACTACTGTCAGAGATGGGTCTTCTACCATTATGAATGATTTGTTGCGGTTCAAACTTCTTAAGCCCAAACCTGCCCAAACCCCTAAATACCCACCCCTAATCCTAGGGACTAAAATAGCTAAAAAATAATACATCACATTATATATGGTGTCATTTTTGTCACGCAATCAATCATACATGTCACTTGACAAGATATGTCAGTATTTTTTACTATGTGTTGACAATGTGTGACTCGAAGGACTAAAATGATGGACAAAGACCAGGATTAAGGAATATTTTTGACATTTTTAAAATTTCATTATTTAAAATGACTAAAACTACTTACTATCTCAAAGACTAAAGTGAGAGTTTAGTCATTAAGTTTTATATTACAAAAATTTCAAATGTATATATCCTTTAAACCAACTAAGAAAATGAGAGACAAATTCTTGATCAATGTAAGAGTCTAAAATATTAGGTTAAAACTTTTTTAAAAATTCATTATAAATACTACAAATAGAAAAAATGTGTTAAGAATAAAAAGAAAAAAAATAGATGAAAATATCACACAATTTAAAAATAAAACATTCCCTAACTTACCCTAAATATAACTACATTTATTGATAATTTTGTATAATATATAGATGAGCAATTTTTAACTTATATTTTGCTAAAAGTGATAAAATTATATTTAAAACTAGTGTAATAAACTTCTATATACAAATTGTGAGCAACGTTAAATGAAAGCATTATTTTAAATAATAACTTTCCTTAAAAATTATTTTGAATTAATTTTATAATTACAAATAATATGTATTTAGTGGATAAAAATTTTATAAAATTAAATAACTTAAAAAGTGTTACCTCTTTTATGATTATACTTTTATCATATAGTGTTAAAAAAAACTTTTGAATTAAAGGTCAATATTTAATATTTGTTGATAATCATAAATTTAAAAGATAAAATTTTTAAAAGTAAACTTTAAATTTAAAAATATAAAAAATAAAATATTTTTTTAAATTTAAAATAGATATTTAGAAAAATCTAAAAAGTTATATAAGTAATAAAAAAAAGTTAAGTGATAATTTTAATCTTCAAAATTTAGAATGAAGTTTAAAAAAAATTAATAAAATTATTATAGCAAGAGAATGCGTAATTCACACTTCATTTTAAATTAATTTTAATCTTAAAATATACATGTGAATTGTGAAAGATAATTGCGCTCCTGAATGTTTTATTTTTTAAATAATTTATTTTTATTTATAATATAAAGGTTAATGAATTTTTATCATAAATTAATTTTTTTTTATCATACTAAGGTTTTCTTTTATATATATATATATATATATATATATTATATCTATTATTTTTAAATTTTTATAATTCAGCATTATTTGAGTTAAAATAAAAATTAACATGATCCACAAAAAATAGTGAAACGTTGAAGAAGGTTGGGCTGAAGGAAAGATACTCGTTTCTAAGGAATTTTACCCTGCATCTCTAGAGATAATTTAGTAAATATAAAAATATTTATTATACTCCTCTATTTTTAATCTAATAAATATTTATTATAAAAAATTATTATTTTTAAATATTTAAAATATTTTTAAAAGTGATGTTAATAAAACTGAATAAATTTATATAATGTATTATTAAACAATATTAGAGAATACTTATTAAAGATTTTGTCTTTTTCCTTAAAACCTAATTCTTAAAAATGTACCCTTGACAGATTATATATATTTTGTAGTAGAGACTATTAATTTAAAATTTATAAATTTTTTTAAGAATGTGTTTGCATGAAATATTCTAAGTAAATAATTTGTTTTTTGAAAAAAATTATTATTCTATGAGTTAAATTTGTCGTTTGGATAATATATTTTAAAATTTTTAAAATTTTAATAGAAATTTTTAATAAACTAAAATAAAAAAAATTTAAATCCTCACAAAAGAGTGAGAATTTAAAATTGCTTTGATTATTTATTTATTTTTTGTTTCATTCAAATTTTTATTTTATTTTGGTTAATTTAATAATTTAAATTTTATATTTTTAATTCTTTTTTAAATATAGTAATAATTTTAATTTTTAACGTAAGTAATTTAATTATTCTGACCAAAACAATTTAATTACTTTATTCAAACAAAATATTTTAAAATAATAAAAATTTAAGTGATGTAATTTAAATATTTCAAAATTTTTAATTAACTCGTTGAAAAACAATCTTAATGATCTAATTTTTCATACTAATATATATATAATAAACATCTCAGCGCATAATATTGTTAACGTAGATTCATAATATTTAGATTAGTAATTTATTTTTAAAATTCATATGAATAGAAGTAATTTTACCGTCTATATTTTTTATCACCATATAATTTACTTTAGAATAAAAATAATTTTAAAATGTCTCAATATATATAAATAACAAGAACCATATTGTTATAAATTAGTTTTTACCAAAAAATTATTTTCTCTTGTATATTTGATAATAATTAATTCTTTTTATATTATTAATTAATTTTTTCATGATATATATTTATATTTTGTTATATTAGTTCAATAAATATGTAAATAAACAATAAAGACAGAAAAATAATATACGTTTTATTATTATGCATTAGTTTTGTATAAGCAATAACATAATCAGAAATTACCTTTCATTTGTCAGAAATATAATTTTCTAATGTAAAAGGAATTTCTATTATATAAAATAAATAAAATTTAGGGAAAAGTTTGTTTTAACTCTTATATGAAATTTTAACTCAGAATTCTTAAATTGTGCAATAGGATGTCTCATATTTATTAAACTGTGGGAAGAAACTTTTTTGTTTTAGAGATATTTAATTTGAGTGTTAATTATTCTTGTACTGTATAACTTGTTGGACAAAAATATCCTTATTAAAAAAGAAACTTGTTAATTAGCGACACATCATATTTTCCTTTTTTTGCTTTACGTGCTAAATTAACATGTTACATTAGCAATTGAATTATCAACTGATTCTGTATTCTATTTTAGCAATCGAATTAGCAACTAACTTCATATTTTATTTTTGTGACTTCACCATTCAGATGCTAAATTTTTTTGATTATTTTTCTATTATTAAAATTATCAATCACCAATTTGGTGACAAATTGTGATCAATTTTATGTTTGAGTAGTGTTTTTATATAATTAAAATTCGATTCACTAAAATTTTTTAAAATTAAACAGAGATGATCCGGAATAGAATGAGCATAATCTAGAAATTCTGTCCAAGATTAGATAATGGAAGAAATTGAAGGGTTGGAAAGAAAATTCACTATCGAAAGGTAGGAAAGGAAGTCTTGTTAAAAGAGGTTCATCAAATACTTAATAAGTTGTTAAAATTCCTTCTTCTGTATGCTCAAACGTGGAATCTCTCATGGTTAGATTTTGGTATGTCTGTGAACAATCTAATTTTGATTTTAAATTTTTATTTTTTTAAAAAAAATCTGAATTTTGGTATTACAAAAAAGGGAATAGAAACAAAAGTTTTTAAGAAAAAACAAAAATTTATTTAAAAAATTTAGAATTAATTCTTAAAATAAAAATAAAATATTACAAATAATTAAATTCTTAAACTAATGTTACTTTATATGTAAAAAAGAAAAAATTTAGAATTTTTGACCTTTTGTAAAAACTCTAACAATAAAAAAGAAAAAGAACCATAGAGTAAAGAAGGCGTCAAATGAGACTAAAATTTTTGAAAGGAGGCATTCTTAAACTTAGAGAGAAAAAGAGAAAGATGAAAAGAAAAGAGGTTCAAAATTTTAAGTAAGTCTCATGTATTTTATGAAATTTTTTATCTATATTAATGTATGTTTTATTTAATAAAACTCTTAAAATCCCCTTTTAATCATCTTTAACATTTGAAATCTATTCTTAAAGTGTTTTTTTTTTTTACCACTTCATTTCATCTCTATAAACCTATCATTTCATTCATGGAAGTTCATCCCTCCAACTCATCTCTAACCAAGTACAACTCACTTTCTCTCCACATTTCCTTTACCCCTCCCTCAACCCACATCCTCAATCTTAAAATCTTCTCTCCTTCAACCCATTATCTTTAATCATGAAAGTTGTTTCTCCTCCTCAACCTATCGCCCAATCATGGCCTCCATCAAACTTATCTTTATCCCTTCTATGACCTCTCTTTTTATTAAAAAAAAAAAAAAACTCATTTGTTGCTCTAAATAAAAAACTCAGCCACTCAAATCTAAAGCTTTTTTTTTTTTTTAACCTTTGTACCCTTTTTTTAAAATAAAATTTTTAATTCTTTTTAATCCAAAAATTCTATTTTCCTTTTTTTTTTGGTGGCGATAAATTCTTTCCATAATTTTTTGTGTTATTTTTTCATTTATATTTTAATTATATATTAGTTATTTGTTCTTTAGAATTATTATCTTTTTATTTTATTTATTGTATAATTGTAGAATATTAATATGATTCAATTTTATATTTATAATTTACATTCTTTTATTTCATAAATAGTAAAGTATTATTATTTTATAAAAATAAATAAAGAATAATATAATTGTATCGATTTATAATACTAACATATAACTTCTCTATCTTCATGTATTATAAAATAATAAAGTCTAAGTACACCTATGTTACCTTAACTTTATACAATATTAATTTACCATATTTTATCTTTAATTAATTAGATAATTATCTTAACAATTAACCAAGATATAATTCTTTCTCTAATTACTAATTTACTAATCAATCAACTAATTTAAATCAAAGTTGTTTTATTAACGTAATAATTTATAATGCTAATGTGTAACGACTCTACATTTATGTATTATAAATTGTCAAAACCTATGTATACCAACGCTACATTAGGTTTTATACACCATAAATTTATACAAAAATTAATCTAATTTCTAAAATTAATCAATTACATGATTGTTTTTATTTAATTAAAATGTATCATCTAATTCAAAATATTTCTGTATTTTATATTATAAAAAAGTAATTCATTTGTTTAATTAAATTAAAACATTTTTATCATATTAGTGTAAAATTTTGTAGTGTTATTGTGTAGCGTGTCTACTTTTATACATTTTAAATCATAAAGACTTTTGTGTACTGACGTTACCTTGAGTCTTATGCAATATAAATTTATCAAATAAAATTTTAATCTTTTTATTAAATAACTATTTTCTTCAATCAATTTAAATATATTTATTTTTTTCATCAAATGGAATTAATTTCATATTGTAATTTTTCTTAAGTCATATTTCAAATTTTGATAAATTAAATAACTATCATTTCTTTATTTTATTATATAAATTTTACAATATCAATGTGTGATTTACATTGCCTTCGGTTGTCTAAATATTATAAGAAATTTATATATAGCTTACGCTATCTTAAATTCTCTTTCAACATTAATTATAATTTAAATATAAATTTAAATATTTCATTTACAAATAATTTTTTTTTATCGATTTGCAATATAGTTGTGTAATCTTCCTTTACCTCCCTTATTGTTTTTTTTCGTAAGGTACCTGTATAACTACGTTATCTTGCATCCTAAATATTATAATCTTATAAAAATAATTTTAATTTAAAAATAAACTTTCTTTTACTAAACTTAATTTTAATCAATCAAATTCGTAATTTTTAGATAGAATTATATGACTTTGAATTTTTCATTGTACCCAAGGATACGTAGTAGCAAGAATTAGACCCATCAAGTCAAAATAATTTTTTTCTCTTTTAAGATACTAATTAACATTTCAATAAATATTTTTTTCTAAAATAAAATAAAAATAATTATTGTTTAGGGGTTAAATAAATATTTTTTAAAATTAAAATCAATTTGCACAGTTAATTTAAAGTAACCATTTTTAAATGATGTTGTAGGGTGCTAATACCTTTCTTATACGTAAATGACTCACGAACTTATTTTTTGTTCAAAAGACCATATTATTTTAATAATTTTTTCAAGGTTTTCTTAAAATAAACGTTGGTGGCGACTCCTTTAATTTTTTAGAAAAATATTTTTATTCTTAAAAAATATTCTTTTTAAACACGTTTTTGCCGTACCGTTGCGACTGCATGATTGCAACAATGTACAAAAGGAGAAATTAAGAAACTAAGACACATTTCAGTTACTTGGGTGAATTGGGGTTTAAACATTTGAAAGCTTCTATAATGCATCGTTGGTGAAGCAATTTTGGAGACTACAAAAATAACCAATCCCTTCTATATAAATTGTGGAAAACCTAACATTTTCCATGAGAATAAATCTTCAAGGTCAGAATAGGATTTAACCTTCATGCACAAGAAAGAGCATTTTAAGTGAAGAAAACAGTTCAAGAAGGCATGAGGGAGGCAATTAGTAAAGTAGAGAAGGTTAATATATGCACAAATCCTTGGCTCCCAGGGCCTAGTGATGGGAGAATTGGTACTTCATTGATGGGTCCTTTAGATGCCAAAGTTGACCAACTCAAATTGGGAATGTTTTCGATGGAAGGATATATAGTATGGTGCACAACATGTTTCACTTTCCCCGTAGAAGCAAAATGCATATTTACTAGGAATGATTCTCTGGGATGACATGAAAGACACAAAAAGAAGCACTTTTTAATGGTAAGAAGTCATAGTTGGACCGTTCTCTATATTTGGTATTTGAAGTACTCAATGATTGGTTTGGTCTGTACAACAACAACCTAAATCATTCATCAACCATGGAAAATTCAAACAACTTGTTTATTAAAAATAAATGTGGATGTTGGTTGGTCTTGATATAAAGGCATTGGTTTTGAATTGGTTATCAGAAACTTAAAGGGATATTGAGGCAGTTGCTACTCATTACAAGCCTTGTGGGAGAGATTCAACACTTGCATAAGCTCTGGCTTTCAATTAGGTGGTTAAACTTTCACCTTGACCTGGTGCATGGTTTACCAGTTGTCACAACCTATCACCACGGGCTTACTTTGTAATTTAGCATTGTCCCTCTGCTAGGTGAATACCAATTCACTAGTGCCACGCCAATCTGTAACAGTTTTGAACTAAATAACACTGTTGTAGTGGTATATGCCTACAAATTTAATATATTTTCTAATCAAAATGCATATTTTAACAAAATATATGGTTTAGATTAATATTTGTATGCATTTCAATTGTACTTAACATATTAAAATTAATATCATCAAAATTATTTTTACTAAATTTTGAATCAAACGGACACATTCTCACCGACTAGAACTTATATCAAAATTTAATATTATCATCTAACAAATCACATCAACATCGAATTTTCAAGAAATTAAGTAAACATTTATTACAGTATTACAAATGCTTTTCGTTAAGTAATAATTTTTTATATAACAATCAAAAATTAAATATTAAAAAAATGTTGGTTTTATGTCAATTCATAAGTACATGTGATGATAATTGACTTATTTGGGATCCTAGTAAGCTTAGTGATCATAGCAAGGCTGCTAGTTCGTTTTAAATTGATTATTATTATTATTTTCTTAAAATATATGTTATTTTTTAATTATACGTAATAAATTTATAATTAATATTTGTTACTGTGCTCATCCACTTTGAAGGAGTATTAAATATTTTCTCTAAATTATACTAAAATATTAAATAATATTTATATATATTTTAAAAAAATCACTAATTTTGAAAAGGAATTTTATTTGAAATTATGTTGGACTTATGAATTCGCCTCAACCTAACAAATTAATGAAAGAGAGAGAGAAAAATTCCAATGACACTCGTCCAATTCGTTGCTTCAGGAACAGGGCAACTAAGCAAGACGCCAAATACATTATCATTTTTGCTTACACATTCAGGGATGGATTTATAGTTAAGGGTGGTCCCCAAACCCCTTTCAGAATTTTCTTTACAAATTACACACACATATAATTTTTTAAATGTAAAAATATATAATTGATACTTTAAGTATATTGATTATAAAGAAAAATAATACTTCAATGATATATTTATTTTAAAAAATTAGTTGCGAATAATTAATTAAATATATCTTTACTACTTACTAAAAAATGATAATATATATACATTAAATTATTTATTTTTTACTCTCCCTTTAATTAAGTTATAGATCCTGCCTTGTGTGCCACGTTCTTCTTTCTTCTATGATACGTTTTAAAATTGTGAAGAAAATCATAAAAAACTGTTGTTTTTTGTTCTTGTTTTTAACATTTAAGCATTTAACATAAAATAGATATGAAACTGACTTAAGAAAGAAAATGAGAATCCTTGTATTGGAGGGAAGCACGTAGTAGCTATTTTTAATTTTTGAGAGGGACACATCACTCACTGCACCACACGAGAGGCCAAGGCCGTCTTTGGTGAGCATTTCGCTTTTGTAGTTAACGAGGGGCCAAATATAAAAAGCCACACAATTTTTTTAAGCCTATTTATAGTCAGTATTTCTAAAATATATATTCATTAAAAAAATTATATTAAGTAGTGTGTTAAGAATAATTTTAATTATGTTGTTTTTTTCTCTCTTATCGACCTTATATGAATAAAAATTACATGTAATTAAATCGTGGAAATAAATTACACTTTGTTTTGCTTTTTATTTTTAAAATTTTATTAACGTCAGTCCTAAGTGTGAATTTACTACTTAAAAATAAAATTTTTTCATGAAAAATATATAATTATTGTATTAAAATTATAAAAATATAATAAATAATTATTTTTCTAATAAAAATTTATTATTATTAACTGTTTGTTTTTAGCTTGTGATTAATAACATTTTTTATAAATTTTTTAGTTATTAATTATTTTATTTACATCATATTTATTAAATATAAATTTCATAAAAGTCACAAAACTCACACAAAACAAGACACCTATGATATATAGTATTATCAAATAGGAAAAAAAATTCGAGATTAATTTTACGAGAAAAGGTGTAGGGTGGCCCAAAAGTCTTTGGGGGTGATTCGTATTTTTATTTTTCATTCCATCGTTCCCTTTTGAAATATTTTAATATTTTCTGATGATTGTTTGTCGTCCCAGAATTTCAAACTAAAAAGAATGTGTCCACGTAAGAGCATTGGAACAAGAATATGCAACAAACATAGGAAGAGAGAGAGAGAGAGTGTGTGTGTGTGTATGTTGTTTTGTGCTGGGTGAGATCCAACCTTGCTTTCATGGTTATGGCCTCCGTGTGTCATCGCTGCTTAATTCTCGCCATTTCGCCAATGTTGCTTTTTGAAGACCGAAATTGAAACTTCATGCGTAAGCTACGTTCACCCTTTTCCCCTTTCATCCCCTCAATCTCTTCTCAATTCAATTCAAATCCTTGATCCAATTGCTTTTTCTTTTGTTGTTTATTTTCTTTTTCCACTCTGATTTGATTGAATTTGATTCAATTGTATTACTTTTGGAACTTAGGACAACGTAGCTTGATGATCGTAAGGTAGTTCTTTTGCGTTGTCCTTTTGAGTTTTTTTTATTATTTATATATATATATATATAATGGATTTTTTTGTTTGTGCCCAGTTGTTTAGTCTGGAAAATTTTGGATTTTGATTGATACCCATGTTGAATTCTTGAGTGAACAGCTTGGAAATGTTCACTTTTTGTTGCCTTTTGTTTCAGCTTTTATTAATCAGGTTTATTTTATTTTTTCGTTGAATCCAGTTTTTTAATATCTAGAAATTTGGATTTTGATTAATAACCCTTGTTGAGTTCTTGCATGCACGGCTTGAAAATGTTTGCTGTTTTTTCCTTGTTGCTTTGGATGCCCCCACTTTTTCAATTTGGAAAATTTTGAATTTTGATTGATACTTTGATACCTGTCTTGAATTCATGCATGCACGAATTGGAAATATTGTGTTTGTTGCTTCTGATTTGCCTACCTTGCTTTGTGAAGGATTGCTGATTTTGTGGCTGTCAACTTGGTCAGAAATACTCATTAGTTTGTCATAGTTACTCTTGGCCATTGTAAATAGTCCAAGATTTGTTGGTTTGTGTATATGTAGCAAGATAAACTTGGAATTAGTGGGGATTTTATGATTTCTTCTGGTGCATGCATTGATTCTGTGTTTGATTGCTGCAAGGTGTGGTCCTCCTCTCTTTAGTATCCCCAAATATATCTTCCTTATTTTGGTTATAGTTGATCTGGGGATTTGACATCGAACATGTTGAATTGAGAACTTGAATGTCGGTAGGGAGAAATTAGACATGAATTTGAAGGTTAATGAGCTATTTACTCTTCTGGCCTTATTACTATATCAGTACTGTGAAAAGAATTAGCAGCTTGAGAAGCTGTTATTATGGCACTGAATAAGACAGGAAACTTGTCAGGTTCTAAGACCGGTAAGGACCCTTGCTTGTTTCCTCAACACAGCCAAACAGAATTATCCAGTGGTGTTTCAAATACAGGACATAATGTACATAACAATGTCACCAAACAGGCAGGGGAAAAATTTTCTGTGAATTTTGGTCATGATGGAATTGCTGTTGGAAGAGTTCCTGTGTCACCTCTGATATCTCAAAATTGTGAGAATTTGTTTGGGTTGAATAGGGAGAATGGCAATGTCAGATACGAAGATCTTACTAAAATTTTGGGGTTGAGGAGAGTGGACTCCGAAAATTCTTCTGACATATTTGACTTTGTTTCTATAAAACAGCCAGCACAGGAGATGGAGAACGGGGCAGCTGTAAATATTTTAAGCAAAATTCAAAATGGAGACGGTGTGTTGAGGAAGGTTGTTCACGAACCCATTGGTGACCAGCCTGGTCTTGGGTTAGCTGTACCAACCCTTCGCAGATATGAAGCTTCTCAGTCCAATGGATTTTCTGGTTCAGGAACGTTAGATGATTCTCTCCCTGGGAAAATGAAGTTTCTATGCAGCTTTGGTGGAAAAATATTACCAAGACCCAGTGATGGGAAACTCAGAAACGTAGGGGGAGATACCCACATTATATCTATCCGAACGGATATTTCATGGGAAGAGCTTATGAAGAAGACCTTGGGTATTTGCAATCAACCTCATACAATTAAGTACCAGCTTCCAGGGGAGGATCTTGATGCTCTAATATCTGTTTCATCTGATGAAGATCTTCAAAATTTGAAAGAGGAATACCATGGGCTTAAAAGACTTGAAGGTTCTCAAAAACTTAGAATTTTTTTAGTTCCTTTGGGTGAAACTGAAGAGACATCTTCAACTGATGCGAGTGCTGTTCAGCTGAGTGATCCTGATTACCAATATGTTGCTGCTGTAAATGGTTTAATAGACCCTACTAGAATAAACCAATCAGGTGAGCAAAGTTTGACAAATGGAGCAAGTCAGCCAGCAACAGGTTTGAATTTTGCTCCAGGTTCTCAGAAAACTCCACATGTCTCTTCTCCTTTGGAGATTCGGGATGGTATTAATGCTTTCAATCCAGATGGAATTTTGAACGACTCCCTGAATTTTCAAAGGCCCTTGCCAATTTCTCCTACTCCAATTCAGGTAACAGGTACTGGCACAGGTTATATACAATTGCTTGGTAACAACTCATGCCAGGGAAGTATTGAGAGCAATGCTTCATTTACTACTGCTCAGCTACATCATGAGTACTCCAGCATAAGCATTGCTGATTGCAGATACCATCAACAACTGGCTACTACTACTTTGTCAAACAACAGTCACCAACACGGTGATGTTGGTCAGCCCAAGAAGGTCAATGGAGGCCATTTTGAGGACCATAATTCTGGTAAGGAATTAGTGACTACTGTATATGTTAATCCAAGTGATGGTTTTAGTGAAGTTTTTGGTGGAAGGTCCTTGCAAAAGGAAAGAAGAGTCTTCTCTGGAAATCCTCTTTCATGCTTGGATGATCCAATCCATCAACAGGGTGAATCTTATGGAATTACTGACTCACCTCATGCAATTCCTCATGCTTTTTCTGATCCACAGTTGCATGAGAGTGGAGCAAGGTCTGGTTACTTCTCACAAGACAGAATTGGCCAATCTTTCTCCCTGAACCTTGAGAAGGCTCAATTAGCTTCAATGTTACACCCTAGTGTCTCACAAGTGAGCCTTATGGAGCATCTGCATGGTTCCGTTGTCCATCATCCTCAAATGCAAAGTAATATACCAAAAGTTGAGTCAGCTGAGCTTCACAGAAGGCAAGATTTGGCATCTTCTTCTGCATATTTTGAATCATTCGGAATGCATGATCATATGCATATGGATGGCATTTTAAGTGAAAAAAATTACCGTATTGCTCAAACTGACTTAAGTGAATCTGGCTATCTAGCAAAGGATACTCAAGAAAGTTCTGTGAAATTAGAAAGGATGAAGATAGTTGAAGAAAAAAATCCTATTCCCAAGAAGGATTGCAAGGTTTATGGGGGAAAATCAACTGTCACTGATATGGGACATGTGACTGACTTGCATCCTTTGGACCCCTTCACTGCTAATAACTTAAATGCTAAGGCTAATATGCAAAAGAATTGGGAGCTACGTTCAGAGGGTATATTTCCTGCACCATCAGGTATGATGGGCCTCTCTTTAAATAATCTTGTGGAAAAGACCCTGTCTGATCATGACATGTGCCACAGGACCAGTGATGGCAAAAAATGTGCTTTGTCTGAAGGTCTGAATGGAGAACAAGGGACCAATTTTTCATTGACTAGAAATTTTGATTTGAATGCTCCAATTTTGAATTGTGAAGTAGGATCTTGTGACAAAAGTTATCAAGGAGATTATATGTTCAAGCAGTCTGCTGACTCAGATTCTCTTAAAGCTTCACAGATTCAGCCTTCTGAGAATCGGGTAGCTACAGGTTTTCAAGAAATTCCGACTGTAAGTCCGGCAAGTTTTTATCCTGCTGCACTTCATGATGATCTTGGTCCAAGTCTAAACATGCCGATGAATTGCTTGGATAATCCAAGCAATATTATTTCTTTTAAAATGGCACCTTCTCTTCTTGACGACTTGATTACCAGCACTGGTCAAATGGTTGATCAGTTTATCCCCAAACACTCTGCCTCTGGAAAGTCAAAAGTTGATGATAAAATCTCGGGACAACCAAAGAAGTTAGAAAGGTGTAATGATGCAAATCTAACTGAGCCAATTGTAATAGTAGAAGACATGGCTACTAGTGCTGTTCCTCCATATATTGAGTCTTCATCGGTATGCAACCCACATAATTCAGATGAAGAAGAAAGTAGTGTTGTATCCCCATCTCATACTGAAGCTGAGAGCATTATCCCTGAGTCTGAAACTGAGGTACAAAACATTGAAATTAGACTGGAGTTCATGATATTTTCTTTATAGTTTCTGAATCTTTGTTTTCATTTACAGGATTTTAATGATGATGAAACAGAGAAGAATGAATTCCTTTCTGATGCAATGATAGCAGAAATGGAAGCTAGCATTTATGGTTTGCAGGTTGACCATCAGTGAAATGTTCCAGTTCTGGTTTTTTTGTTTCAAGATCACAATTTTCATTTTGGAATATGTGGCGATTAAGAATTGTTCATTGGTCTTAGTTGATTAAATAATTGCCAAAAATGAAATGCTTTTATATACCCATGATGCATTTGGTTGGTTGGTTGATGATTCAATGAGAGGTTGCCAATTTTCTAGCTCAGGGTGGAGGGTGGGGGGAGTTATTTATCAAAGGCTATGCAGCAAAATAAAATGTATTTGAAATGATATTATGCTGGGCTCCTTTTGTAGTAAAGTGAACCTTTTCTGCTACCTAACTTGCATTCAAGTTTTCTAATCTTTGCAAATTCAGTAAGAAATTCTCCTAGTTTGTGAAAATTATTTTCTATGACCTGTTGAAATCAGTTGTTCTGATGCCATATTGATTTGAAGGGAATTCAATGCACAGTAAACACTACTGTTTCTATCTGTTATTGATAAACCATAGACCCAGGCCCCCTTATTAATTATTTGATAAAAATGAGCTTTGCTGCTAAATAGGCCTGAAGGAGTTTTCTTTTCCTAATAAATTCTTCATATTGTGTATCTTCTTACATTAAAACATCATTGACATGTTCCACTTTGCTTGTGCTATTTTGCATTGCATCATATGATTATCCTCTTACTGACATTTACTGGTATATAATTCAGATAATAAGGAATTCTGATCTTGAAGAACTTACAGAGTTGGGATCTGGTACTTATGGAACTGTATATCATGGAAAATGGCGGGGAACAGATGTTGCTATAAAGAGAATTAAAAAGGGCTGCTTTGCAGGGAGATCTTCTGAACAAGAACGGTTGGTGAGTCATCAGTGCACTTTTCTTCTCTACACCATGTTATTTATTAATTGCATACAAATTTTACATTTCTATCCACTCATAGGTTTAATGTTACTTCTTATATATAAAATGGAGGGATGAAAATTGTGCTAAATCCTAATGCACTATTAATTCCACCCGCCCTGCCTCTTTATGTATCTATCTCCCTATGTAGATTATTTGATAGAAGCTGATTTTGGTCAAAATAATTATGTAAGAATAATACTGTACTAAGTAAGCCAACGTAAGTTGTGTTCCTAAAAACAATGATCATTAAACTAAGTATCATACGCACACTATATCTGAATTAGCAATAATTAAAAAAGGAAAGGTGTTGATTGACTATTATTAAAAATGCAAAACAAAATAAACAAATTAACAATAGTGATTAATAGATCGATTCTCCATTCAATTCGATAACAAAGTTATCACAAGTTACTAATTATTAAATTTGAATTCTATTTATACTCTTAGGTTGTTCTAAGATGATTAACTAAGCATAAACTAAATTAGGGGAAATTCCTACTGTGAATAATCCATGGAGTATTTATTAAATTCAGGTTAGTCAATCAAGCATTTCCTAATCTTAATTCAATTTCATTCAAACTCATATGAAATTAAAGCAATTCAAATATGTTTCTCAATCCTAATTAAATCTGCAAAATCAATCATTACTGTGATTAGAAATTCTTGTTAATTATATAAAGTAATGATAGAATTTGAATATCATAAAGTATGCACATAAAAAAAACCATATAAAACATGAATAAGAAGTAAAATATATTCAAATTCAATTAAGGACAAAACTCAAACTTCAATTATTGAATTTGAATTAGAAAAGCAATCTTCAAGTGTTTAACCTTTCATATTCAGATCCATAAACAAAAAAATAAAACATAGAAAGAACACATAAGAACAAGAAAAACAAAAATGAGGACTAGTGCTGAAAATTCAAATTTTGATATGAAAATAACAACAAACTTTGAAGGTAATTCAAAAGCTAAATCAAATGTGTGAAATGAGAAGAAAACTAAACTATTTATAGTAATCTTAATTAGGTGTAATTCGATTAATATAAATTCAAAACGTAATGGACTCCTAATAGAGTAAATTTAGGCCCAATAAATTTGTAATTTAAAGATTTATGCGTGCAGTTACAGTGGTTCAACTTACGCAAGCAATATCTCTCAGCTCCAAAGTCATTTTTCTGCAAAATTACCCATCAAATTGAAGTCCCAAAAATAGTTTTCCAATAAAATCAGAATCATCACAAAATTTGATTTGTAACTTAAGATATCATCAAAACAGTAATCATAGGTTAGAGATGCTAAAAATTCATAATCGGAATATTTTAATCTTTCGAATCCAATTAAGATCTTGCCAATAAATGTAGTCAATTCAAAGTAATTAAATATTAGTATTATATAATTAGGCTACATTATAACTTAATAAATGTAATTAAAATATAATTCATCATTATGATGGAAAATTAAATTTTATTAATGTATTGAATTTGAATAAATTAAAACATAAGTTTTTAAATTTGAAACCATAAGAGTAGAAAATATGTCATGCACTATTTTCCAGATTTTCTGATAAGTTGATATTAATTTAAAAGTTTTATAAGTTGTATACCAATTTCATCTGTGGCTCTGCTCATTTCTATAGAAATAAAAAAGTAAAATATGTACTTCTTACAATATTTATTGGCTTGGCTAGGCTAAAGATTTTTGGAGAGAGGCACAGATCCTCTCAAATCTTCACCATCCCAATGTGCTTGCATTCTATGGAATAGTACCGGATGGGACTGGTGGAACCTTAGCAACTGTAACAGAGTATATGGTTAATGGTTCGCTTAGGCATGTTCTTGTAAAGAACAACAGGTAGTCTAACTTAGTCAAATTTCTTTGAATATCATTTTGAATAAGTTATTTGTGTATATACTGAACCTCCGACCCTTGGTGCAGATTACTAGATCGTCGTAAAAAGCTATTAATTGCCATGGATGCCGCTTTTGGTATGGAATATTTGCACTCAAAAAATATTGTCCATTTTGATTTGAAATGTGACAATTTGCTTGTCAATCTAAGGGATCCACAACGACCCATATGCAAGGTAAGAATCCCAAATGTCAAGTTTCTTCTTGTTTCGTGTTAAGCAAAGAGAAAAGAAAAGATATTTGATGAAATTCATGTGTTGAATTACACTGCAAAGACATAATTATACAGAAAAAAAGGTAATAAAAACAAAAGTATCCAAATTACCGGTTACACGATCTGGTCATCCAATACAATGAATCTTGCTTGACACCATTTACATAATTTCCAACTCTGCTCCTCAAGTTGGAACTTATTGGCCAAATGCACCAAACTTGTCATGTATGTAACTTCTAAGGACCCCTTAAGGACTTAGTGAAAGCATCCACTAGCTTTTCAATTGATTTAATGAAGGGAGTAGGGATGTCTTTTTATAAGATATTTTTTCTAATGAAATGATAATCTATCTCAATTTGTTTGATCTTCTTATGAAGTACAAGATTTAGGGTGACATGGAATGTAGCATCAGTATAAAAAAAAAGTTTCGTCTACTTAACCTTCCCATATTTGAGCTCTTGAAAAGTTGAAACAATTGTTTGTGTCAAATGAGTTTAGCAAAGTAGTTAATGTCCTGGTTCAATATTTGCTTCAGCAATTGACCTTGCAACGATATTCTTTTCTTACTTGAGATATTAATTAGGCTATCCATAATGAATACACAGCACTCAAAAGTGGATCTCCCATCAGCAAAGAACCTGTTATCAACCTGATATTTTCATTTATTTGGACCTAACCAAGACTTGATAATATATGCAGTGGGACTGAGTTGATCTAATTTGTTGACATAATATATCAATTTTAACATTATGTAGACCTAAATTATAGAATTAAAAAAATATAAAACTAAATTACTATATAATTTAAAATATATAATATTAAGATAAATATGACATCATGTTATGTGATATGTTGTCCATTACGTCAAAAGTATATTATTACTAAATAATTGTTTAAAGAAGTATATACTTTTAAAGAATATAGGAACAAAACCGGGTTGGGATGACCTGAAATATGACCCAAACTCATTTTAAAACACATTAGGTTTAAGGCAAACCCATAAAGACATCTAGTGTTATTAGTATGAAGAACCTTGGCCTGCTCCCAAATTGACTCTTAAGAGACGCAAGCATGAAATAATGCTCCGCAAAGAGATGAATGTTGAATTTGATGATGCTACTTAGTTGGGTATGGCATCTTAGTTGATCTATATTGTATGGAAACAAAGCAAAGTCATCCTTGGTAGTGAGGTAGGCCACGTAGTCCTGCCTATTTAAGAGCAATTTGATGTTTGAAGCCCTAGGATAAAAGTTGTTTCCATATTGTTTGTCAGAGAGAGTGATGCTGACATAGTTGTTGTAAAATGGGGCTCAGCCTTAATAGTATCCTTGGATCCATCATAAAGAGCCAAATTAAGCCATGGGTTACACTGGGTAGCAGAGAAGATGACTGAATAGGTTTCAAAAGGTTTTGAGGGACAAGGGATATCCCAACAGAGGTCTGTTCAAGGTGAGGGAAGATCTAAGGAGAATAAAAGTGGGAGAGCAAAAAGCAATAAACTGCAGCTGGAAAGGATGCTCCTACCACCCCCTGCCTACTATTTTTATTTTTGGCACTTGCATGGTTCTTTTTCTGTTTTCTAAGTACTTGGGAGATGGCAAATTTTCATAGTAAGAAACTAAAACTGGTGCATCAAAATAAAAAAAATATTGATCAGACTAGCCTGATTTAATGAAATTCTCTGGTTGTTTTACTTATGACATAATTTTGGCAACTTTGTTGATTATTTTTTCCCAGGTTGGAGATTTTGGATTATCAAGAATTAAACGTAATACTCTTGTATCTGGAGGTGTACGAGGAACCCTTCCATGGATGGCTCCGGAGCTGTTGTATGGGAATAGCAACCGTGTTTCTGAAAAGGTAACTGGGGACCATTCATAAAAAAAATTAGTTATGTATAGAAATCAATGAATCTTTTGGCAGGAATTTAGCTTGTGGAATGACTTTGGCAGGTTGACGTTTTCTCATTTGGCATCTCAATGTGGGAGTTATTGACTGGGGAGGAACCTTATGCAGATATGCATTGTGGTGCCATTATTGGTAAGATTATTCAATATTATAACTTAATGGAAAGATAAATTCTTTTATCAGACAAAATAAATTTTTGTGGGAGCAACATAAAGAAAATTGAGATTTTATGGTAGAGGTTGCGTTGATTTCTGCTCTGTTTGGTCTTAGCTACAACTGATAAGGAATATTGATGTGGAAGTTTGTGTTCTTTCCTGGGCTATTTGGTGCTTGATCTCTTAAAAAGTGTAAAATACTTGTCACTTCGAGGGAGTTTTTATTTCCTGTTATTAGCAGTGGTAAGAACTCTGTTCAGGTTAAAGGACAAAATAGAACAAGCTGTGTCAATATCCTAGCAGTTGCTGAAATTTCAGTCGAGTGTAATTAGGGCTTCATCCTTACAAATTAAGGATTGATGTTGGCCTGAATTTTGAAATGGATGAGAATCCTGGCCAAAAAAGAAATTTAATTGGATGTAAAAGATGAAGGAAGCTCTAACCAAAGCGTTAGGATCTCCTGATATTCTTTTCGGTATAAGGATTTTACATGTGCACAAGTAACAATAAAATTAATACGGTTGAAATGTTTTATAGGATTATAACTGTCTCCTGGAATGACTTATGCCTTTCCAGATGGTATTCATATGTTTAACCAGTGTTGGTATTTTCTAAACTTTCGTCTTAGATGATGACTAGGACTGTTTGCAAAAGTCCCTGTGATAAACTCTTTACTTCTGTGTTGGACAATGTTGGACAGCAAATGCACTAGGCATGTAGCTGTTTGAAATGAACCAAGACAAGGCCATTGAGTATTACACTTAACTACTGTTACTATTTACCACTATTAATGAGTTATCTTGATGTAGAGGATTAGATAAATGTATCTAATTCTAGACTGGGTAGATATACAAGTTATGATTGCACTTGTGCTAGGGATGCAATGATCCTCGACAATTTAAATTGACAAACTTATTATATTTCTTGGAATTTGTTAAGCTTAGCTTTTAGAGTTGAGTTTAATCACTTTAAAAAGTAAATTGTTATTGAAAAAAAAACATTTATTAATTTAAAGATTTTGATAGAACACCCAAAGAAGAAAATTCAGAAACTGTTTATTAATAGAAGAAAATAGTGCACCAATATACCACTGAACATGCCGAGCATGCCCTCTTACAATGATTTCCACACTTCTCACCCTCTTGGTTACAACTTCCTTACCCTCTTCTCTATCCTCTCCCTCTCTTAAACGCCACTTCCCTCTCCTAACACAATTGGCACTCTCTAACTGCCTGTCATGCTGGCAGCAACACGTTTTGTTCTGCTAGAGTAGACCTTCCACTCAATGGGCCATTTTGGGCCTGTGTAAAGTAATTGATCTTTTTCCTCTGAGTCTACAGGCCTATCAGACATAAATGTTTTTTCTTTTTCTTTATATAAAATCTTACTATTAATAGCTACTTAAACTAAGTCCTAAGAGTTGAAGTTAATATTTTCATATTTCTTTGTTGATATTGTGAATGTCAGGGATGTGTTATTCATTTAGGGAGTATTGTAAAAGAACACTGATAGCTTTCTAACTTCCATTCCCAACTTGCTTTGCTTTTGGTGACATGATCATTTAGGGGGTATAGTAAAGAACACTCTTAGACCACCTGTGCCCGAACTCTGTGATTCTGACTGGAGGAAGCTTATGGAAGAGTGTTGGTCACCTGACCCGGAAAGTCGGCCCTCATTCACCGAGATAACAAGCAGGTTAAGATCTATGTCTATGGCCCTTCAAGCAAAAGGGAATCATCAGACATGTCAGTTAAGATCCGGTGGTGCTTCCTGAAACTAAGGCATATTTTGTGCAGTTACGTTTGATGGTACAAGGTTTTCGTTGCAGTGTTTTTAAAGAAGTGGTCAAGATTGAGATTGACATGCTGAGGTTTCTCAATACAAGTTACCTATTGTTTCTTGTGCTTTTTGTAGCTTTGATATCTTCATTTGTTTATTCTTTCTTGTATAAGTTGGGGTTGAGATCATGGTATAGTTGTTTAGTTCTATCAATTTTGTACGTGATGTATGATTTTGTCTGAAGATATATTAAAAATAGATAGGAAACAGGTGTCTTTTTTTGTGCATGTACACAAGACAATAGTGCTTGTAATATTTGTCCTTGTTGATGCGAGTATCATCTCATACTCCTGCACCTTTCCTCTCTTTGGACGATGAGAATTTAACACTGTATGTGACATTGTATATTATTATTTTTATCGTTGTGTAAAATATGTCAAATATGTAGGTGACACTTAAGCGCATCTTTGGTAGTGTATTTTTCAACATCAGAATTACCGCTACATCCTCTGACTTTTGCATTTGGAACGCCAGCATATAGCTCTCATAACGCGAATCCAAACATACCCTAATCCTAGACACCAAGAAACACCCTCTATCATACCTTTTCAATGATTGGGTTCTATATCGACCTTATTAGAGTTTGAGTAAAATTAAGTTACATAGATTGTACTATAATTTAATATGTATTGTAAGTGCTCTTCCAAATAAATGTTTAACTAACTGAAGCTCTCAGGAATGACTTGAATGAAATTGTGTTTGTGAGCACATACCTATAAACAACTTGTTGTGCAACACGGAAACTCCATTCACTGGCATGAATTGAAATGCTTTCAGACTACTAAAATAGGATACTAATTTGGTCCTCTCTCAGAAAATTCTAATTTGTATCTTAAATATTTTTTCATATGAAAACAGTCTAAAATTTAATATTTTAAAAATTACTTAAAGAATCAATTTCGCACTTCTAATTGAGAGCCAACACTAATGTGTCAAAGCTTTCGATAATCAAATTATGGATTTATTAGGTTCACTAATAAATTGTAGTCTATGTTGACTTTATTGCATATATTAATTAAAATATTTTTTAAGTATATGAAAAGCAGTAGTGCGTTTACCAAATAAAAAGTATAAAAATGTATTCTCCGATTTTTTTATAAAAAATAAAATAGACATTTTTTTGTCCTTATTATAAGAAATAAATAATAGATTAAAGATATATTAATTGCTAAATTCTTTTTATACCCTTCTTTTATTAGTATAATTAAATATACAAATTACTAATTACATTATTTAATATCATGAGTATTTTTGAAATAAAATTTATATTTATAGAAAACATAACATACTTAATTATTTTTCTTGATCTGGTGATTTAGTCATTTATTTTTTATAAAAAGAATAAAAAAAAATAAAATATAACATTAATTTAGTGATTAAAGATACGTTAATCTGTATTTAATTCTTCAAGGAAAGTTACTTATTATTAAGTGCCAGAATTCCAATTATAAATTCTTCAATTAATTCTCATATGAACTTCAATGATTTGAGAGAACGGAAATTGGAGACAATATATATATATATATATATATATATATCAGACAAGTTTATTTTTAGAAAATGTTTTCTGTTTCCTTATTTTTTAAACTAAAAATTAACACAAAAAATACAAGTGAAAAATGCCATATATATATAAAATGTATTGAAGTGATGATAACAATTGCAATAGCAAAATTACAACAGCAGCAAAATATTGCCCCAATTGAATGTACCAAATATATATCATTGAAAATAAGTACCAGATGACAATAAGAACTTGACATGCGAAATTAAGGTAGGTCTGTGGTGTTAAATGAAGCCGTTGAGTAATGGTTGCCCAGCTAGCAACGTTTTGAAGGATATTCATAATGTTGAACATGAACTTCTCCATCATCATCATCATCTTTTGAAGGCCCATTCCTACGATTCTTCTTCCTTTCTCTGTCCTCACGTGCCCACTTCTCCTTCAAGGTTTTCCAACCAACCTCAAAATCGTCACTAAGCCTCCTTGCAACTTTGTGAACCTCACTCCTTGGAGGGTATTGCAATGCATAAGAGAACACAAGCCTTATATCATTTGCAAACTCATCAGGTTCTAAGTACACCCACTTCTTCAACTTCGACTCAATATCCTCCAAACCTATTGGCTTCTTCTTCAATTCGCACTTGTCAACATCACCCTCCAAACCCTTTGGCTTCTTCATCAATTTGCACTTATCAACATAACTCTTTGGCTTTCTCATGGCCTCACGGTTATGATTAAGAATGTTCAAAACCTTATGATCAAGAAGAAGCTGTTTGAAAGCCCAACCATCTCTTCCCACCATCAAACGCTTCAACATCACCCAACACTGCATCTTCTTGCAACGATCCATCATCATCACGTGCTGCACCACCCTTGGCCTCTTCCCTTCCTCCTTATTGCACTCTACACGCACACCCTTTTCCTCAGTCCTGGTTCTTGAAATTCTTGAACCAGCCCTTGAGTTTTCAAATTCAGTGTCACCCTTAGTAGGGACTCTAGTTATAGTACTCCTCAATGATGTCACGTCACAAGAATCAGAAAACTTCTTCTTGTGCTTCAGTTCTTGCTCTTCAGACACGATTCTTGAATCTGTTTTATCAAATTTTGATGTTTCTTTGACAGTATTAGAGTACTTTGTCTCACTCTTTTCTTTTACAGTGGTTTCGTGGCTCCTCAAGGGGTTTGGAGAACTCACCTTCATCCTCTTCTCGTCATGAGAACTTGGAAGCTCCTCAGACGGTGGTGCACGCTTCAGAGAACGTGGCAAGATAAGCTTTATTATGAGTTTTCTTCGCTGTGGTTCTGCCATTAATTGATCAAAGAGCAAAACCGACAATGTTGTAATTAAGGACGCATTGTGTTTCTGTAGCCTCCATCGTGTATATATATCCAGAGAGAGAAAGAGAGAATTCATTAAACTTTGATTTCCTTTTAAATTTTAAATAAAACGGTGAACACTTAATTTTGTTTGCTTAATTTTTATTTCCTCATAATTATCTCTTTCTTATTTATTTACCTTCGATGTTCCATATATTTATCAGTCTATTTTAATTTATTTATTTGATGATGCTATTTTCTAGCATCCGAATTTTAGGCTTTTTTATTCGTATAATGCCTTTTATTTGATTTTTATTGATTCTTTTAACTTAAGTCATTATGTAAAATTACTTTTTAAATTTTTTTTTTCATGAAGTTGGCTTCTGCATGGATTTCTTGCAAGACACAAATTGCAGTCATTGCCATTGTTTTTTTCTGGCTCAATCCAAATGAAATCAAAGTTTCTCATCTCTTTTATTTCTTTTATTTATTTGTTTATTTTTTATATATATTTTCTTATGTGGTGAATGAAGACGTGTTGGTACAACGTCAAAGCTAGAAAAAAAAAAAAAAAAACCTAAGTAAGATTCTAAAATGCTTTGTTTTTCGAGTTTGTCAGTGGTTGAACAAAGTTTAATTCACTAATACTAAAATTTTTGTGGACTTTTGCAGATGGTTGCAAATGTTCTTGTTGGCAGCAATTTGTCTGCTAGATCTACCTTTTAAGGTTTGATAGTAGCTTTGGGTAATTTTTTAAAATAAATCTTTATAGAAAAAATATATATATAAATAATTAAAAATTTTGTATAAGTTAGAATCAATTTGTTTCTTTAAATTTTAAAAAAATTAAATAAAAAAACTTCTTTAAAAAACATAAATCATTTTTAACTTATAAAAAATATTTTTTATTTTTTATACTTAATTTTTTCTACTACCATAATTTATTTAAAATTTTATCCAAACTAAATTTTATTTTTATTAGTTTTTGTTGTCCTGTGACTTTTGGAACGTGGTTATTTGAATGAGTAGTCATGTTAAATTATAGATCAAATTATTTGAAGAATATGCTATTTTAATTTTGAATGGCTGTTAAAAAAATTTGAGGACAACTATAACACAGCTGGAAGTTCTTTTTTTTTTTTGTTTTTCTAAATGATGTAATAAAAAGATATTTTTGCAATATAATTAACCGAAACAATATTACTAAAGAATTGATATGGGTGTTAACGAACTAAAATGAAGAACTTTTGAGTACTCTTTGAATGATAAACTCTAAACTTGAAAAAAAGTCTCTGTGGTAGATTGAGAAAGGTTTGCTGAGATATAATGATTTTGAGTTCAATTATATGATTTACGGGCAATAACCGGTTTTTGGGCTCAATGGACATGAACGAATGGGCTAATAGAAGTGACGAGCCCATGTGCTTCGATGCCATGTGATCCAACCCGTAAAGCCCAAGAGAAAAAGAATTCTGCTTTTGGACATAAGCTTTCCTCTAATTATGTTTTGGGTTTAGATTTCTTCGGCCTATACAAGCAATAGTATTGCATTCTTGATCTTTCTATTTACTTTAAGTCTACGATTGTTATTTTCTTTATTTATTGTTTTTTCTCAAATAATAATAATAATAATAAATTTTTTAATTAGCATAACTTTATGCATGGTAAATGTTACAATTTAATGCAATTTTTTTATATTATTAAATGTTATAATTTTAATCAAAATTTAACATATATATTTTTTTTTATCTTGTGCAATGTTGCACAAGCTAAAATAATAATAATGGAAGATCAAAAAAATAAGCACAAGGAGAGTTAAAAAATGAAAATTTACTCTTATTTTTATATTCACTTCTTAGTATTATTATAGTTATTACTATGTGTGGTGTAAATACTATTAGTTAGTAAGACTGTCACAACAAGAGTTACAATAGGACAAGTGAGCTTTAAAAATATTTTGTTTAAAATATTTTAAAAATTAAAAATATTACTATTAAATTTTATTTAATGAAAATTTTGAAAATAATTAAAAATTGAAATAATCTTTAAAATTAAATTTAAGGCTAGAGAATCATTCATAGAAAAGATATTAGTATTTTTTAAAATTTATTTAAAATTGTTACCTTAATTTAATTATGTAAATTTATTATAATTTTAAAAATATTTATTTAATTTTAAAATAATATTATTTTTTTGTCTCTAAAAAAAATAATTTTATTTTAAAAATATTAATTAATATTTTAGAAGAAAGAAAAAATTATTTTGGTACAACAGGTGTAGTTTATGCTTTTATGTATTTTATGTGCAATATAAAATTTAAAAACGCATATTTCTATGACAAATATTATGAAAATAGTTAGTAAATAAACAATTTATTTTATGATTACATTTTTTTTTAAAATAAAAGTATAATAGTTAAGATGCAAGACAGTGAAATTATATATGTTATTTTTTTATTAATAAAATTAGAAAGCAAAAGAAGATTACACATTCATATTATAAACTATTTTAAAGATGAAAAAAATAATAATATATTTTAATTTACATAAAAAATATTTGAGTAAATACTTTAATTAAAAAATAAAAAAAATAAAAAATATATAAATTATACATAAATTTTTCATAACTTATTTTAATAATAGAAAATAAAATAAATTATACATTAATATTGTAAAATATTTTATAAATAAAATAAAAATATTCTTAAGTGATTAAATATTTAGCTATTTAATTAATTAAATTAAAAATATAATTTAAATCTTAAATTATTAAATTAATTGTTTAAGTAAAATAAAAAATATATATTTTTAAAAAATAAAAAATATATTTTAGTTAATTAATAAAATAATTACTTAATAAATTAAAATTAAAATTTTATTTAATTTAAAAATTTTATATTACATGAAGAGTAAGTTTTAATTATTTATAATATATAATTATAGAGATATTATATATTAATATTTCAAATTGTTGCGTTAACTAATAAAATAATATGATTTTAATTCAGTTAAAATTAATTATTTAATAATTAGAGAAAAAATATTTAAAAAATAGTTTTTATTAATTAATAAATTAATTACTTAATTAGAATTGAAATAAGATAATATTTGTTGCAAGTATTCCTAAAATAACAAAAATATACATAGCTCTAGAAAGTTTTAAGACATGCCAACTGATAAGGAGGTATAAAATGTTGCATAGGTTTTACTTATTACTATCAACTTAAATAAAATGTTGCAAGTGCCCTAAAAAAAAACATAAATATACTTTAGTTTCAGGAATTTATAATGCATGCCAACAGAAAAGGAGGTATAAAAAGTTGGATAGATTTTACTTATGTATTTATTTATTGTCAGTTATACAATTTAAAATGATATATAATTTACTAATAATAAAATAAAGAAACAATATATAAATCTAAATTATATCCATCTTTTACAAAAATAAACAAATAATAATAATAATAATACTAATAAATAAATAAATAAAATAATCATAGTAAAATAGCATGAAAAGTATAGTAAGAATTATATCATTATTATTATTATTATTATTATTGTCAGAAAGAAAATAAAAATTTGCAAGCGAAATTCACAAAAGAGAAATTTAAAAGAAAAACACATTTACATGACATAAATATAATAACAATACTAATGATAATAATAACATTAATAATAAAATAAAATTTAAATTTTTTTTACTTTTGTTATATCATATTATTGTTATTTTATCATCAACATAAATAATATTGAATTACAAACCAATTCAAACTCCAAATTTATTTTCATTTAATCCTTTCCTTTTAGGGTTGTTGATAAGAACCTAAATCATAAACCCAAATTGTTGAGATTTCATATTTTTATATCTCCCGTGCATTGTGATTCATTTTGAATTTCATTTGAATTTGACATTCACCAATGCATTAAATCTCAGGTGATGAAGGTGGGATCAATGACATTAAGAAATTCATTAAATTGAAGTTTGTGAAGTGATGTTAGATGGTTCACGCCTCCACGTTAGCAATGCTGTTCAGCGCTCCCTAACTACCCAATCATTTGCGATTTCTCTTAGAATAAGTTGAAGATCTTCCAAACATTTATTTTTCTGCAATGGTTGACACGTTTCATGTTCCAAACATTCATATTTTATATTTTATTCCCAAAATTATCACCTTTCATTTTCAAAAGGGTTTCATATGCATCAACTCATTCCTTGCAATTTTCTATCAACTTTGAATGTCACTTATCTGTTTATGCAATTGTGTCAATAGGCTAATCTGATTTGATTAATAATTAATTTGATTACTTATCAAAATCGACTATTAGTAAGCTATCTAATACTTGATTCAATTGGTAATAAAATTGACCTAGTGAGAAAGAATATCCTACAATCACTTTTTATATTAGTTAATGACTAATCAATCTAACAAAAACAAAATTAATGACATATTTTAAAATAATTGTTTTTTTTAAATTAATTGTTAAATAACTAATATAGAAATTACATTTTAGATATATTCTTTTATAACCGATTTAAAATTTATGACTTTTTAGATTAATTAACTTTGAATAATCAGAAAATGTTTTAATCAACTCTTAATTAATATAAACTATTTAAAATATCATCATATTACACCATCAAGAGTAAAAAAAAATTAAACAAAAATATATTTATTTTCTTCAAAAATCATCAAGCATAAAAGCCTCAAAAAAATTAAGCTATAAAAAGAAAAATTGGCTAAATATTAAAATTTTATAAAATTTTTTTTTATCTAAAGATTATATGAATTTTATATATAATTTGCATAAATAGGAGTTACGTAAAAAAAAGTTATGTATCTTTAAAATTTAAAATTAAAAAAATAAAATTTTTCATGTCTTTTTATTTAATTTTTTAACCGATATAAAAAGTTATTTTTTAAATCAATTCTTTTATAATTAATGTATAAATAATTTTCAAAACTAAGATTGCAGACATAGTAATAAAAAAGGA